CTCTCTCGCTCGCTCGCTCAATTTCTCATTCTCAACCCTCGATTTGCTCGATTGCAGATCCAAAACCCTCGATGGTTTGCGCTTCATCGATCTCTGTCGCTCGCAATCGAACTCTCTAGCTATTCTTCATCGATCTCTGTCGCTCGCAATCGAACTCTCTAGCTATTCTTCATCGATCTCTGTCGCTCGCAATCGAACTCTCTAGCTATTCTTCATCGATCTCTGTCGCTCGCAATCGAACTCTCTAGCTATTCTTCATCGATCTCTGTCGCTCGCAATCGAACTCTCTAGCTATTCTTCATCGATCTCTGTCGCTCGCAATCGAACTCTCTAGCTATTCTTCATCGATCTCTGTCGCTCGCAATCGAACTCTCTAGCTATTCTTCATCGATCTCTGTCGCTCGCAATCGAACTCTCTAGCTATTCTTCATCGATCTCTGTCGCTCGCAATCGAACTCTCTAGCTATTCTTCATCGATCTCTGTCGCTCGCAATCGAACTAAACAAAAGCAGGGCACTTATCTCTGTCGCTCGAGGGCTTTGCTCTAGCTGTTCTTCATCGAACTCGAACTCGATCTGTTCTTCATCAAATCGATCTGTTCTGTTCATCATCAAATCGATCTGTTCTTCATCAAATCGCAGATCCAAAATCCAAAATCCAAAATCGATCTGTTCTAACTGATCTCTCTTGCTCTTAATCAGGTACATTTTTCATTCTCTACTTTCTCATTGTCAAATCTGTTGATCTGTTCTACTTTCTCTGTAATTTTTTCGTTCTTTAGTTTAAAAAATTTGGATTCTATTTACTTAAAATGTTTGTAATTGCCGAAGTCTTAGTGGATTCTATTTACTTAAAATGTTTGTTTGTTTGTAATTTTAATTTGGATGTAGGAGACAATAGGTCACTTGATCAAATTCCTATTGCTTGCAAAGATGCAATAGTAATTTTGTTTATGTTTGATCTTACTAGCCGGTGTACTCTAAATAGGTATGTTAATTATTTCATCATTAAATCAATACTCCTTTTAATAGTGATACATACATAGTTTTAAGTTTAAAGAACCACTAATTTGATATAATTTTGTGTTTTCTGGATTATTACAGTGTTATTGGATGGTACAATCAAGCAAGAAAGTGGAATCAAGTACTAAATCTATCTTCTAAATTTGCATCAACTGGAATGTGTGGTTTAGATTATTCTATGCATTTTTCTGTAATATTTTTTTCTCCTATAGCAGTAGTGAATGGATAAATATAATGGCAACGAACAACATTATGAAAGTGGGTAGAACTTCATTTTGTTGATGGGGTCTTTACTAGTGAAGTGCCAAACATTTAAGATTATTAATGATCCAATCATATATTCCTCAAAAGAAAATAAAAAATAAAAAAATACAATAGAAAAAGTACTTGTTTAATGCAATTGTGGGGGAGAAAAAGATTTATGTCAATAATTTGATCATTAATAAGTGTGTTATGGATGATATCGACAGCAATCTCTATTTTTGTATTGAAAAGAATGAAGTTGCAGAATTTCATTATTTGGATACTATTCATTCTTAAAAGAGTATGAACATATTTTCATATAAAATTTTTAATTTTTTTGCTTTAATTTTTGTTTGCAGACGGCAATTCCTATACTAATCGGGACCAAATTCGATGATTTTGTTCAACTTCCGCCGGATTTGCAGTGGACAATTGTGACCCAGGTACAAATTCCTCAGCATTTTTTGTGTATAATTTGTTCAGCAGTATTAATTGACAAAGAAATCTGTCTTTTTGAAATAATGAAGTTGATTAACTAGTTTTGTTCCCAAATATTAAGGAAAGCTTTAATATGCAAATTAAACAGGACCCATATTTTTCATATAAAGTACAACTTATTCATCATCCAGTCTGAAGGTGGAGTATCCAAAATCGTGGTTCATAGCTGCCCACCCCAAGTGTCCCTAGCTAAACTAACTGCTTTGGTAACAAATTAATCTAAATTTTCACTTCAATAATTGAGATAAACCATTTTATTACATAGGGAGTTAATGTTGTTAAGGGTTAATGTTGTTACAATTGACCTAGAAGATTGCCGAAGTCTTAGTAAATCACTTTACCAACATAAATCATATTCAGTACACCTTTTAGAAGAAATAATAAATTAATAGTTAAGTGTTATTTTAATAGTAAATCACCTTACCAACATAAATCATATTCGCTCCATCTTTTTTACATGCACTTTATTTTACACAATGTATGAGATGAACACTTGTTAATTGATTAATGTTGAATCAATGATTATTTGAATGTGATCAATTAGAAAAGTCACAAGAAAAGACTAGTTTGATTGTAAACCTTGGTGAGTATTTCAGGAGTTAAAAGTGCGTCCATAATTGCACTATAGTAAAAACCACATCCATCAAAACAATGCTTTTACAGCTACTTGACACTATAGTTGACATTAACAAGGCTATTAATTTAACGACTAACAAAGTGGTAAATGATGAATGACTGCATCAATGACCTTGATTCCCCATGTTTAATAAGGACACCCAGTTGAAAGAACAACCCATCTTTCACCTTTCTCACTTGCCTCTTTGTTTTGCACTACTAGCAGAGCATATGTAGCAAACATGGTAATAGCAACATGGTAACATAGAAAACATCCCTCATACAAGGCAACAAAATGGTAATAGTGAAAATATCCAATAATCACGATTAACAGAAATTTAGTCAAGACAGTGCAAAGAAAGCATTTACCCTTTCACTCTATTTCATAGCTAAAAAGATGCCAAAGATTTTATTGACAATTAAACATAAAATCAGATAGCATTATTGCTGTGGACTTTGCTGTGGACTGAATGAAAAGGTAGCCTAAACATTATTGCCATGCATAAACAAAGTCAGCAGGTGGTAGTTTACAACTTCGCTTTGTAGGACAATCTCGCTCTCAAATCCGCAGCCACAGCATCAATGAACTCTTCAGTGTTCAAATAATGTGCCCTAGTAACCCTGCATGAAACACAGCCAATTACAATATACATAATTCAGATAAAAAGCGAATGGATGGACAAAATACCTTTTTGACACTACTTATTTGGATGCTTTAGAAGTGGCTGTTAGAAGTACATTGAAGTACTAATTTAGCTTGAAGCTTAGGAAGCTACTAAAATACTTAGAAATCTGATTAATAGTAATTGTGATATTTTCTTGTGTTTGTGCATATACAATTTATAATAGATCAAAATAGGGTGACATAATAGTAGTCAACATTATTGATTGATGCCAAGCATGTATAACATTATGATTTTGAATTTCTAATGTTTATCATAATTTTTTGTTAAGTAATTAGAAATCTACTCTCGTCTACACAAAAATGGTGTTATAGAAATGAAATAGAACACTACTAAGATATATTGGTATGTGTGGGCATTCATGTAGTGGTGAGAACTTGTTGCTTACTTGTGAGTACAAGAACAAACTAAATGAAGCATACCTAATATCTAGTACTTGCCATTGTAATGTGCTATCAACTACAATCATGGAATTTTTTACCTTGTGATCAATTAGGATAATTTGGTTGTTCTTATAGAATCTTCATTAGAGATGCCTAGTCATTTTTGGTGAATCTCTATATCATAATCTATCAAGAGCATTATAGAAACTTTTAGTTTCTTCATTAATATGCTTCATGTTAGAAATGCTTCTAGTATGCTTGATAGTTTTGATTCAGGTTGCACCACCGGGATGCAATAAGCATGACAGTTGTTAATTTAGCAAGTAATTATCCATGCATAAATAAATAGCCTTAGACCCGTCCAAGAATCTTCATTAGAGATACCTAGTCATCTTTGATGAAGCTCTTCTTGGATTGTCTAATTGGGACAGTTCAAGAGCACAAGTCTATGTTGTAATTAGTAGTTTTTGATTGATAATGTGAAATCTATTATAGATCCAAGAGAAAGTTGTTACCTTTGTAATTTATTGCTATTGCTTGATAAATTGAGCTTCATACTTGTATTTTTTTAATGTCGGAGTGGACTACTTGTGCTGTAAAATTTTTAAAGCAAGATCTGTGGTTGAGAGTTCATGGGCAGGTTTTTTAGAACTGATCATTGGTGCCAGAACTAATAAATATATTCACCATTTGGGATGAGAATGAGTTGGGTTTTTTCATTGAAATCACTTTTAATGATATTGAAGTTATCATTTAGGGTGATATACGTGCATTATTTGTGTGTTTGTGCATGTAGACACCCCATTTTTGACCGCCTTTAAGACTCGGACGCGACTGATGGTTTTGGAAGATGTGCAGGGCAAAGGTTCAATTTCTTCACCAAGGAGAGAGTCAAAGCTCAACTTCATACCCCTTTTTGGACCAAAAAAATCTTGATCAAAAGATTTTAGCCGTAAAACCCTCTCTTTCAAAACGTTTTTGAAATAAAGTTTTTACGATGTTCCGAGACTCGCATTTTGTCAAATGTTGCGCTTTTCGGTAAACCGAGCAAGGGCAAAGTGGAAAAGAATGAAAGAGAGATGAAATCTTTGAAAAAATCTTTCAAAACACCTTGCTTAGGGGTTTGAAGTTGAAGAAAAGAGGAGAAGAGGGAAGAAATCCAGTTGGGGGAGAAAAGGGCATGAATCGTTAAGAAAGAGTCGAGCAGCCCTCGCCAAATCGGGCCTATTCATTTGCACACTTGGAATCAAGCTATGAGGCCACCACCGTTGGAAATAATACTTTCGGGGCTTCATTTTGCACTCAAGAATCTCCTAAATCCAATTCCGGACGAGGGAGATATAGTTGATTGAAGTAGGGCATCACTCCGGTTGGGACAAAATCTGCGCGGCTTCACGGAAACTGGCGTAGCTTTTTCCACAGGAGGAATTTTAATGCAAGGTTTGCGCCATTGGAAAGATAACTTCCGGGGCTTCAATTTGGACACTTGAATGGCCACCATTGGACTTCCCAATCCCCCCCCCGCCACTTTTCTTTCCGGAAGCCCATTTTTTTGTCCTGAAAGTAGCTGGCCAGCCAGAAAATCTAGCAGGCCGGCCACCTAGCTGGTGAAATGACTTTTTTGCCCTTTTTAGCAAGCCGGCCATAACCCCCTCCCCAAGTGTGTCCTAGAAGTGAATTTTGTTTTCCTCTAGGCCTTATGTCCGAGGGTTTGGCCTTTTGGGGGGAAACTTGAATTGTTTTCCCCCCCATTTTTCCCCCTCTTTTCCACTCTTTTTGCCTATATAAACCAGCCTCCAGCTCTGGTTTTAGGGGTTACAAAATTGCCCTAAGAGCTTTGCATACATACACCTCCTTCTCCCTCTCTTCTAAGCTCAAAACCCTTAAGTACTACACTCATTTCTTCACCAACCCATAGCCCCACCCTTCCATCCTCCATTCCAGCAGCTGGAGGTTGTTCTTCAAGGCCTAGGAGTGCTCCAAACTCAAGCCAAGAGTTGCCAAAAGATTGGTCTACAAGGGTAAGCTCCATTTCTCCTATTTTGCTCCATATTTTGCATGCTTTCTTAGCCATACTTGCTTGCTGTTTTGGGCTCCGACCCTAACTGGAACTAGGCTTATTTTGAGCTATTTTTCATGTTTGTTTAAGGGTATTTACCTGTTTGAGGTCTCCTTGTTGCACTTGTTTCATTATCTCCCTTGTATGCCATCTTCTTGTGTAGTATTTTTGGCCTACGTATAAACTGTTTTGAGGCATACCATAAACTGTAAAGAGGCTTATTTTGAGCCATTCTTCAATGTTGTTGAAGGGATCATCACTGTTTGAGGCTTCTATCTTCCACTTGCCTTTATATCCCTTTTTTGGCTCCATTTTTGCATGATTTGTTAGCCTCTTTTGCTTCTGTTTTTGGACTCTGGTCCGAACTTAAAACAGCCTTATTTTGACCCCTTCTTCATGTTTCATTAAGGGTCTCTTACTGTTTGAGGCATCCTTTTTGTACTTTGTGTTATAGCTTTCTTATTGGCCTTGTTTTGCATAGTATTTTGAGCATGCTTGTGTACTGTTTTTGGCTCAGTCATAAACTGTAAAAGGTCATATTTTGGGCCCCTCTTCGACATTGTAGAAGGGCCCTTCTCTGTTTGGAGCCAGCAGCTTCCACTTGCTTCTTTATCTCACATTTAGGGCCATTTTCGCATGCTAGCTTAGCCCCATTTGTGTTCATTGTTTGGCCTTTCTTAAAACTGTAAACATGCTTTTTTTAAGGCTTCCTTGAGTCTGTCTTTACATTTCATATTCAAATAATGCATGCTTGATGTAGCTACAAGTCATTTCATGTGCTTAATCTTGCATTTCGGGTACCATTACATGCATCGGGTGCCATTTTTTCATGTTTCGGGATCATTTTGCATCACATTTCAGTGCTGAAACTTGCATGTTTGTATGCCATATTTCATACCTTGCCATGTCTTGGTAGAGTGGCATTTGGTGCCTTAGGTTCGGTCCTCGGTTTGCGTGTATGTGTGCACGCATTTCGAGCGTCTCATTTTCATCTAATGGCCTCTTATGCGAGTGTGGCTGAGGTCCACTTGTGTTAGTGTAAGTCCATTTATGCATTGTGTATGCCATTTCATTTCATAGCATTGTGTATGCTAGGTTGTATGTTAGCGCATTGTGTATGCCATGTTACCTCGTGCATCGTGTATGCCGTTTCATAGCATTGTGTATGTTAGGTTGTATCTTAGTTGTATTTCACGCATATCATGCATATTGCATCGTGCTTGGGATAGGAGTTAGCCTGAGCACGGGAAACGAGGTACGATTCGTACTCCGAGTGACGGAACGTGTCTCAATTCCCTAGTCACCGACACTCCGGATTATCCATGATGGAGTTAGGTTTTCGTTAAGTTTTTATGTGCATTCATTCTATATCGAGTTGCACAATTCGACTCCTCAGCCATCATGCATCGAGATACGTAATTGGTGGCAGGAGGATCGAGGCATGCATACATCTGTGAAAATATATTGCTATGCCCCTCTCCTGCTCTCTGTTGCAGCAAATCAAGA